TGGCTGCAGGCAGGACGAGACAGCAACTGGCCGCATCCGCAAGGTCTCCAGCCCTTGCATCACAGTTTCCTTTCAGTTACCTGAAGCTTCTCAAAAAAGCAGCCACCGAGGAAGCTCTCAGCTGTCCCTTACGGACCTGAGCCCACCCCGCCGCTGCGGTTCCTCTTGCTGCCTTACCCCGGCACAGGGATGGCCGGGAGGAGCTCCTGGTGGCCAGGGCACCGGGCTGTGCAGGGACAGCGGTTGCGGGGGTCCCCACAGGGGCTGGGAACCGATGCATGGGCTGGAGATAACCCTCTGCTCCACTGGGGGAGCAGGAACAAGCACGAGGGTCCCCAGCAGAGCTCCTCCGAAACAAGGGCGCGAGGCTCCAGGAGCAGCAGCACGCGGACATCCTCCTCCTCCTGCCTCCAACCGGCCAGGCCCCTCGGAGAAGGAAGGGGCGAGACGGGTGCGAGGGCCTCGTGGTCTGCATCCAGCACTTCTCATAGGCCCAGGTGCACCCAGGAGAGCAATAAACTCTCTCGTCGCCCCTCAGTGACGAGCGTGCTGTGCTAACGGCGAGGGCCGGGCACGCTGCAGGGACTGGAGTGCAATACCAAGCGATGACGAGCCCCCAGGATCTGCTGCCATCCCCCTTTCCTGGGAAGGGCAAGAAACCTGCTTTGTCCTCAACACGGGCACCCTCAATGACGACAGATGGCCAGTGCCATCCTGCTCCTGGAGACTGAGCTATCCCGCGAGGCGAGTGCAGAGCCCTGTCCCCCCTGCCCGCGCTGCGGGCAAATAGCCTGTTAGAGCCGCAGCCTGCTGGTCTGAGTGATGTTTGGGAAGAGCCCAGCTCCAGCTGGCTGCCTGGGCTGTGTGCACTCAGCCTCCTCCATCATCTGCCCGGCTGGATCCCACCCAGGAGCCCAGTGCCTGGGCACAGTCCGTGTCTCAGGGCAGGCCGAGGACTTCACAACGCGTCTGGTCTTCATAGTGGGCCCAGTCCCATGCTTAACTGGGAGCAGAGACGCTCTTGGCCATGGAGGCAACGTCTACGTCCTTGTTCCTGGCAGGTGGAGCTAGCACAGACCCTCCTGACTGATGATCAACTGTGGCTCAGGATACGGCCCCGGTGGCTGGGGGAACGAGGGGGAGACAGAGCCGTAGACTAAAGGAAAGGAATTACAGCTTTTGTAAAGAAAAGCCATAGCTCCAAGTCCACCACCGACAAAGCAGGAACCCTCACAGAAACCAAGCAGCCGAGCAAGAGGTAAGCGAGGACTGTCCACCCCCAGGACACAACGCTGCTGGAGGGCTCAGCAGCCCGCAGGCGTGTCCAGCCTCCCCAGCTGCAACCCCCTCCTTACACAGGGTAAGGAGGGCTAAAAACCTGAGCGTTTTGGGGGTGATGCTCCCTGCCACCGTAGCAGAGAGACAGCAGCACCTGCGGGGACAACATGCCAGACCACTCAACCTTTTCAGTACTACGCACCACAGACTTTGGATTACATTCAGGGGATATCAGAGAAAAACTTGACACCACCGATTTTCTGACACTGCAAGCAGTGACTTGATGCTGTGAGTCTTGACCCAGGAGTTTTACCCGCGCTGCTGGACGGGCTAATAGCCTCATTCGTTCCAAAGACAAAAGCTTGCTTTAGCTGCAATCAAAAGATTAAACAGTAAGTAGAGCTTTCCCCTGAATGTCAGGTATGGTGCTTTGCAGCTGTCAAGACAATGAGACATAAACATGGCCATTTAAAACTTGCTTCTTATTATTTTACTATGCAGGAGACTTCCCTCTACCCCAGGAAAATTATGCAACAATGTAACATTTAAAAACAAACAAACCAACAAAAAACCTCCCAGAACTCCTCCAGGTCTATTTGGCTTCTGCAGTTAATAGCTGGATTGCTGCTTCATATGCAGAACTACCAGCAGCTTTTTCATGAAAGCGAATTTCATAATTACCACTGTTTGTATTAAATTTAAAACTGAGTTACATACAGTTAGTCCATTACCGGAAACCACTTAATTCACATGTTTCTTCCTGCTTCCTCGTTCTTCATCCTGAGATGTGAGTAACGAAACAGAGCTGGTAGGCTTTGCAGGTGGTGATGGGTTAGTTTATTGTGAGATGCAACATGCAACTCAGCAGGACACACAGATCAGTTTCTTCACTATTTCCAGGAGTTACTAAACAGGAAGTAAAATAATTTTACAAGAAAACTCTTAGAGGACCATCTGAAAAATAAGCTATTTATAGTACACTAAGCCCAAATTATTCATGTTTTGAAATCTGGGAAACAAGGTTAGCATCTGAACACTGATTTTGAGAGCTACTGAGAACTTCCATTAGTCTCAAGAGCTTTACATTGCTGAATTACAAAGAAACAGGCTACTTATCTAGGTGGCCTGTCCAATGGCCAATGTGCGACTTGGTTTAAAACACTATTTCCTTTCTCAGTCTGGAGCACAGAATTAATAACAGGGGACTGCAGCAATGCACAACTGTTTTAGATTGAGAACAGTGAACACAGGACTTAGGCTGACAGATTTCTGTACAACGAACAAGGTCATTGAAGACAAAGTGCTGGAGGTCTAAAATTTGTTAGGAAAATGGACTATCTTCTTCTTCTTCTTCTTTTTTTTTTTTTTGTGCAGTGCCACATCCCTAACTAGTACTAAAAACTCCTGGAAATTAAAAGCTGAAAAACGAAATGCTACTCTCATTTTGTCCAACAAGCAGTTTTTGATTTTTAGTAGTTCAAGTTTAATTCAGTGCAGAGTAAAGGGAACTCTTGTTTATGACACTGACGACAAATTGTTCTGTGTATGGAAAGTATTAAATGCTCTCACAGATGTTGCAAAATTACCAAAATGGGATGAAAGTCTGTCCTCTTCCTCAGGCACTGGTGAGATAGATATAAAAAAAGAGAAAAGAGTTCAAGTTTTGTATAATGGAAATCTTTAAATCTCAAAGGAAAAACGTTGGTCAACAGTTGCACAGTAAAAGTGCTGGACCTCATCTGACACCTAGTGGTTATTACCGTGACAAACCCCGGGGGGGGTGCCATACCCAAGGAAGGTCAAGCTCTGCAATAAAAACCTTGAATCCTACACTGTTTGGAACCAAAACTCCCATTTAAGAGAACGGAACTGGCCTAAGGAACACGACGGACTTTGAGAGTTCAGTATTACATGAAGAGCACATCCGTGACATCTACTCCCACACCACAAAGTTTCTCTACTGGAACAAAAAAATATTCAGAGTTCTGGTAGGTTGTTGCAACTTTATTTATTTACTTGTTTATTATTACAGCCACGGCTTCTGAGGGCATGATCCCTCAACGCCCAAAGAGTGAAATACCTCACGTATTACTGGTGTGGAAATGAGTGAGATTTTCATATATGGTCAACAGCTTAAAAGTTTGCTACCCATTACGACTATATGTAGAGATAGATAGATAGATAGATTTTTTAACTATAAAATTGATATTTGAAAGGTATAAATATCGGTGCAATTATTTCGTCAGTCTAATTTCCCTCTACTGGATAGGACTCAAAATGTCTGAGACCAAAAAGAGATTTCAGTGTTGAATGCTGATGCGTACATCTGCATTACCACAAATCCACCAGGAGACGGACACAGCACACCATTACCATAACTCCCACTATTACACAACTACTCTAGTCCTTCCAGTAAAGCCATTGCATTGGTTTTCATTTCATTTTTTTAGCTCTTGTATGCGAGTTACATGCTTACACCTGCAGGATCCCCATACTCTGCCATTATATACTTGACAAAGGCCGAGTTAGTCTGAGTCACTGACTTTTACAGTTCTTTCAATACGATGCCAGTCCCACATTTTGAGCTAGCACTAATGACTTCACTAGCAACGTATAGCCTTGCCGGGCAGATAGCTGTGCAAAGAGGACCTCCCAAAGACAGCTGAAGGATGAAGAAGGGATGGACCATCCTTCCCCTTTTTCAAAAGGGGAAGTCGAGAGCCAGCTCAAAACTCAGGAAGAGCTGTATTAACATATTTCCCCATTCTAAAAACTTTTAGCAGCAATCATGAAACTGCCCTTTGCTATGATAATAACCTATTTATCATCGTATGTTAACTGAGCACGTCTCTTAAAAGTAATCAGCAGTGAAATACTTCAGTAGTTATAATTTGGGACGCTACCCATATGGTTCAGAGTTAACAGGAGGTAAATCTGATGGGCTAATTCACATGGGACAGAGATTCAGGCTGTCTGCCGAGTCAGAAAGGCAGCACTCCCGTCAATTGCCTCCGATTCCCATCCGGAGAGTTTTCTTCCCATATGTTTTAAGTGGCAGCATCTAGACCTGCACTGAGCAATTTGGAAAAAGCAAGCACATGTTTTGCAGCAATCCCATGCCTCTGGAACTATAGAGCATGCCTTGTTCTGAATTTACTCGCAGAATTTCATGGCGCTTCTGCCAGATGTCCCCAGGGAACTCGGAGCATATCTTGTTGAATTCAAGGCATCAAAAATCTTCCTTAAAGATGCAACAACCTCACCCACTCAAGAGCTCGGTTGTTGTCTGAAAGGCATGACTGGGACTTACTTCTTTCACTCGAAGTAGTAACTATGCTAAAAGCATATTCTACCTGCCTACAAAATTACTGCCAGAACGTCATTTGTTGTAAAGTATATAAATGTATACTGCATGGACAGTCATGAAAACCATCAGAAATGCCTTTATTTCTTAATCAGGGAATAAGGTTTACCATTTGTGCATAATGCAGTCATCCCAAACTCATGCCAGTAAAAGAGAAGCC